AGGAAGGCGAGGAAGGGGACGATGAGTTTGACGACGAGGCTCCGGAGGAGCTGACTTTCGCCAGCGCCCAGGCGGAAGCGAGAGAAGAGGAGCGGCGGGTACGCGAGACCGTACGCAGGTTCGGAGCCCGCGGCCGGCGGGGAGAGCTGCCCGCTCCCGACCGGCCGTCCCTCCCGCGCTGACCTGTCACCCCTCCTCCAGGGACAAGGCGCTCCTGAAGGAGAAGAGGAAGCGACGCGAGGAGCTGTTCATCGAACAGAAGGTCAGGGGGTTAGGGGTGTCTCAGTTCGAAACTACCCGGCCGGTCAGAGTGCCCTGTTTGATGCAGTTTGGGCGAGGACACTGGTGTGGGGAGGAAGTCTCGAATGTTTAAAAAGGATGCCCGCGCGCCTTGCTGTCGACCCCATTGGAAATGAGAGAGAAGAGCTGTGGATTTGAAGTCACAAGAATGAGTCCCAGTTTTGACACTCAGCTACCCGTGATTCCACTAAGCTTCGCAGCAGCGGGGCGTTTAGTCTGAAACTAGGCCGCTGTGAGAAGTAAGATGATCTGTGAAGTTAAGCGTGTACAAACGCGGGTATGACTGCTTTGCTGTGTGAGGCTTGGCACACTTGCCACGGGGCCCTGACTTCGTGTGTGACCTAAGAGTGGGAAACCTGTGGACACCCCGGTTTTCACCCAGGCTTCCAGAGAATATGGACGGCATTCTGAGTTTTGTGGGCCAGTCTTCCCCCCAGCCTAGAGATACTGGGAGCAGTGTTTAGCCTAATTCATTTATTTTCCTAAATGGACTGTCCTGTAAAAGCAGTAATTTAAGAAGAAACTCCAGGTCGGTCTTTTATGTGTATCGTTTTTTTGTGATAGGATCTCCATATGTGGTTGAAGCTGGTCTTGAATTCTCACCGATCCTCTTTCCTCAGCCTCCCAAGTACTAGGATTTCAGGCTGGGATTACAAGCGTGCTTGTATTTCACTTTTAACTTACTTTTAAATGTCTTTATTCTAAAAGAAAAGAAAACTGCTTCCAGACACTATTCTAGAGCAGTTAACTACAGCTTCACAGACTGAGTAAGTAAGAATCTTTTCCTGTATTACTTGCTTATATGTAGCCATATTTAAATTATAGATTGGTACATTTATTTGAACCCATATAATGGAAGAAAACACAGAGCCTAAATTGAACAGCTACACAGTGGCATTTGAAGGATGGAGGAAAATGGTCCACTTCTTTTGTTCATTTCCATATGTTATTCTAGCCTCTGGTTCCTGACCCCAGTGTGTTCTGTTCAATATTTTAAGCACTTGTGCTTACAGCAGCAGAGGGTGCAGTGAATAAGTGTTTTAATGGCATTTATCCACAGGCTTCGTAAAACCCAACTTTTTCATTTGCCTTACCTGCCATCAACCTGTCCTCCTGTTCCCCATTTCATTTAGCAGCATTGCTACACAGTGTTTAAAGCCAGAAAGCTATGGTTATCCTCTTCTTGCTGTATCACGTAATCAGTCAATTCCTACTGAATTTGGTCTTCTAAGTATTTGGGTTTTTTTTGCTTACTGACCCCTTTACTGCTTTCAATTAGGAAGTTTAGCCCCCTTTTACCTAGGCCAATGGATCTCAAATGTTTTCTTTTTTGTTCTTTTCTTTTTTTTTGGTTTTTTGAGACAGGCTCTCACTATGTAGTTGAGACTGACCTGGAACTCACTATGTAGCCCAGGCTAGTCTTGAACACACAGTGATCCTCCTGCCTCAGCCTCCCAAATGCTGGGATTACAGACGTGTGCCACGACGCCCAGCTTTCAAATTTTCAGTAAAAGAATTTTTCCAAAATTGTTCAGATCTTAACTACATTTTAACAAGTTTCGGGGATTTAGCTCAGCGGTTCAGTGGCCTGCCTTGCAAGCGCAAGGACCTGAGTTCAATCCCCGGTACCAAAAAAAACCCCCCCAAAACAGAAACAAAATTATTCAGATCTTCAATACATTAAATGTAAAGCATATGTTTGACAAATTCCCTTTCATCTTTCAAAAGCAAGATCAGGGGTCACCTCTTGCTTCTCACTTATCCCTCCCATCACTTCCGCCTTTGAGCTTCCTGTGTGTAGCTTTATCAGTTGACATTTGTCACGAGACCAATCCTTGTCATCTTTGTGTCTTAATCTTGTGTTTTCTCCAAGTATGAGACAGGCCTGCCATTTACTTCAGTTTGAGCACTGCATTCTGTACGTAACTCATTAAGTCCTTTAAATTGATTCTAAAGCACTGGTTTGTTGCCTGAGAGTTGGTAGCAGTCAGTTGTTTCTGGAACTGATGGGAGAGCCAGAGTAAAAATTGAGGATGGTGTCAGTGAAAGGTGGCAATTTATTTGTAAACTACATGAATTACATAACATTTTGAGTGATCTTTGCTCTCTGCATTCCAGTTAATGCTTTTTTATTTTTGCTTAGCATAAAGAAATCACCAGGAAAGCTGAAAGAAGGTATGAACCGTTCTCATTTAAATAATCTGTCAAGTGCTTTTGTAGATATTTTCAATTAAATGTTATTGGCCCTTCTTAGCCTGAGCCCCTCCCATGTTTCTTACAAATAAAACTTGCATCCATAGTGGTGGGGCATGGATATTTAAAGTGAATTCCAGTAAATGCTTCTTATTTATTTTTATATAAATGCTAATTAGAAATCAAATGCATTTTTTTAGTGAATTTACAAAAGAAAAGAGAAGAATGTGAAAAAGGAAGTGACACCAAGAAAGTTAAAGTACAAAAAGTACAGTCTGTCAGGTAACAACCCCCTCCACATGTACACCATGGGAGGTACAGGTGACCCTTTAACATGTTGCAGAAAATAACTGCAGTTCAGATTGGATACTCTGTAGAAAAAAAGTCAATTTTGATAATTATACATTTACTTGCTGCAGTGAATAACATGTTAGTCTACTTATAAAATAGCCTTCTAACTTGTATTCATTATCTGTGCATAAACAGAATTAGAATTCCACTGTTTATTATTATGAGACAGCAGGGGGAAAAAAACCACACATTTTCAAAGCACACATTAGGGGCTGAGGGTGTAACTCAGTGGTACAGCCCTTTTTGGCCAGCACATTCAGGGCCTGGGCTCAAACCTCAGCACTACAGAAACCACAAACCTGGGCTGGGGAATGCAGCTCTGTGATGGAGCACTTGCTTATTAGCATGTGTGAGGCCCTGGGTTCTATCCACACCCACCACCAGAGAAATGCTTAAAGCTGCAAATGAGATAAGCATGTGTCATCCTCGTTTATTGTTACCTTTTATATTGATTAACAGTCAGAAAAGCTACGTTGCTCTAAGGCTGAAGGACCAAGATTTGAGGGATTCAAGGCAGCAGGCAGCTAAAGCTTTCATATATGATTCTTTGTATGGTCCGGGAACCAACAGAACTACTGGTAATTTCTAATGGATAGTTTTTCTCATTTCTTTTATTGCACAGAAAACAAACAAGTAACAGATAATTCTCTTTTAGTAAATAAGTTCCTGTCTCTTGACAACAAGAGGTCACCAGTGAAAAAGGCTGCAGCCCAGTTTTTGAATAATGCTTGGGGTAAGATTCAGCTTTATTCTCTTGGCTTTGATAATTTTAGTTCATAATTATAGACTTATTACTCATAAAGAGAATTTCAGAATTTCATGGGAACAATCTCATTGAGTTTGATAGGGTTTTTTTTAGTTTTAATTGATATTTAATATTCTTATTCC